TATTTGCTTCAGGAACTTTGATGTCTACTTCTTTATCCAGAGTTTAGCTAACATCAAAAAACGACAGAATGAGATTAAAAGATAGCCAGGGCTTTTTGGAAAGAATTTACTGCCAAACCGCACCCATGTCTGCGGTGCGTATTGTTTTTGGATCAGTGATACTTGCGCACCATTCACCAGTCCCATCTAAAAATCAGCCCATAGAGACGGCGGGAGGTACGAATAGTCAACTGCGCCCTCCTAACAAGCAAGGTAGACGGATAAATTATGTATTGAGCAGACCTGACGCTTAGGTTCTGAAGAAAATAATCTTGCCTTAACCCAGCCTAAGGCAGCGAAGACGAGGTATATGAACATAGGAACGCCTGAGCTCGGTTCCGCGCGGCCGGCGTGCTAATTAACTTGCTCACAGTCCAAGGGACAACTGACTGACTAGACTCAAATAAGCAATTCCATTCTTCTCTAAGTGGTTATTTGAGGAGTAAAAGACTTTAGAAAGACAGGAGCGGTGCTTATTCGAGCTACCTATCTACCTAATACGTCTACAGACAGCAGATATTGGCAAAACCTTGATAAAAGGCTGGCGGCTTCGAGGCTGACGAACATTCAGTTGCGCTGTGTATAGCGTCAGGGTCTGCAGGATCTTCTCAGCGCCCAATTGCTTATATGGCACAGTGTCGGTGCTGACCGGCTGATGAGTGTTAGAAGTTCGAATTGGAAACTGCAGTTTCCCCACTGTTTGCCCGGGACGACGGGATGGCGGAATTTTCCTGTTTGGCTAGCTGTGGGTGACCCGCAAGTGAGTTCGGAAAAGGATCTATCGTGAAAAAATAGACCTTCTAGGATGACGAACATGCCTATATGCACCGTACAGCGGGTGTGTCACAGAGGCTGGTGGAAATGCTCCGCGTCAGATACAGGGACTGCAGGAAACCATTCGCCGGCCAGATCACTCGACGCAACCATTGAACGAAGAGTCATCGATCGGCCTAGTTTCTGGACAACCACAGGGTTGTAATCTGTATGCTTTATCAAATTCCCTAACTCTAATACTACCGAGGAGGAATGTACTCAACATCCAAGGAAAACAAACTTCACGCTAACAACTGCGGCGTGCAGATATGCCTCTGTTCTAAATCCCATTACTAACATCCTATATTTGTCAGCCAGGAGTTCTGCGCAGAAAATAGTGTAACGGTTCAAAGTAACGACGACAAACATGAGAGTGAATTGTTGAAAGATCAGTCAAGAGTATAAGAACTGCTTGTGATTTAAAAAATTATAGATAAGGAAAGATCGATGGAACGTACTGCCACTCAGTTGCTAGGGCCGATAGCCTTACGTACTCCCGAGGCAGATGAATGAGATGCGGCACACGGATTTGTGGCTGGGGCAAAAGAACTGGATGATTTGTCAACTGGGGCAGGGAGTGCTGGCACAGTTTGGCGTAGAGGTCGCGACTGGCTGATGAACGACCTGCATGACACCACGCGATGATGAGTCGTGCCAAACAGAGGGCACTAGAGGAATCACCGCTCTGGCATTTCATTGAGAAGAGTTTCTCCTTGTCATCGGGCTGACCACATTCCACAGATAGTACGGTGAGAAGGTCTTCGGGTCCCAATGGCAGGCCCAGATAGGCCAGCAGGAGAGTGAATTCATCAATTGATTTGCCTATAAAATTGGAAGTAGAACAGATTAAAACAACATAAACGCCAGCAGTGAGATGGTAGGTTGAAACTCGACTCATCAGGACAAAGGCTAAACGCTATCGCTAAGCTCTACGAATTAACTTAAATGGGAGATAGCATCAGACTATTTGTGGGCGCGGGGAACGGACCTGCTCGCAATACAGTTTACGTCCGAAACTGTTGCTCTCAATTTGCCTTATTTATGGGTCAAATGACTTCAGATGGGCGTTTAATATCAAAATAACACAGTGCTCGGTAAGTGAGGTTCGCTGCATGACAAAGGATAATCGTAGAGGTCATAGTGACTCACGGCCCTGGTGACTCAAAGATAATTTCGAATAGTCGAATTCTACTGTAAACAAGCTAACGAGCAAGTGAAGGCCTAACATGTTCAATTATGACGTCCCAGTAGCTCTTATTCCATGGCAAAACGTAAATAGGATTTTAAAAAGTGGAAATTTTGATATT